TGTGTGTGTTTGTGTTTTTATTTGTGTTTTTGTGTTTTTATTTGTGTGTTTGTGTTTTTATTTGTGTTTTTTGGGTGTGTGTTTTTATTTGTGTTTTTTGTGTGTTTGTGTTTTTGTGTGTGTTTGTGTTTTTATTTGTGTGTTTTTGTGTGTTTGTGTGTTTTTATTTGTTTTTTGTGTGTTTGTGTGTTTTTATGTGTCTTTGTGTTTTTATTTGTGTGTTTTTGTGTGTTTGTGTGTTTTTGTGTGTGTTTGTTTTTTATTTGTGTGTTTTTGTGTTTTTATTTATTTATATGTTTTTGTGTTTTTATTTGTGTGTTTGTGTTTTTATTTGGTTTTTGTCTGTGTTTGTTTTTAATTTGTGTGTTTTTGTGTGTTTGTGTTTTTATTTATTTATATGTTTTTGTGTTTATATTTGTGTGTGTGTGTTGATGTTTGTTTCTGTTTTTATTTGTGTGTTTGTGTTTTTGTGTGTGTTTGTGTGTGTCTCTGTTTTTATTTGTGTGTTTTTGTGTGTGATTGTTTTTTTATCATCATCATCATTAACTTCACACAGACTCTCCCACTGGTACATTTTCATCTTTAAATCACTTCCTGGTCTGCTGCCTTCATACATCTCCTCCTACATGTCTCTGTGTGAGTGCAGCTACAGCGTGCGCTCTCAGGACATCATTACCTGCAGTGTTCCCTCAGTGAGGACTGAACTAGACAAAAGGACCTTCTCCTACTCCGCTCCTGTTTCCTGGAATATATTGTAAAAAGACCTGAAGCTCTCGACCTTTGACCTCTCTAAGTGTCTTTAAGGATCTGTTGGACTCCTGGCAGGGACCAATGCAGACATGTTCCTGTTTTTAGTTTTCTACATTTGTCTTGGAATCTAGCTGTTTTTTGTTTTGTTACCTTTTTCCTTTTAACCATCCTATTTGTTATAAAAAAACTGTAGTATGAGTTTTTATAACTGTTTATTGTTGTTGCTGTTGTCCATTGTTGTCATCTTTCTTTGTTAAATCAGGTCTCTCTTGTAAATGAGTCCTCGAGGCTCAATGGGATTTACCTGTATAAATAAAGGTTGATTGATTATTTGTGTGTCTCTGTTTTTATTTGTGTGTTTGTGTGTGTGATTGTTTTTTTATTTGTGTGTTTTTGTGTGTCTTTGTTTTTATTTGTGTGTGTTGATGCGTGTTTCTGTCTTTATTTGTGTTTTTGTGTGCGTTTGTATTTGTGTGTTTATGTGTGTGTATTTGTGTGTTTGTGTTTCTATTCATGCGTGTTTCATGTGTGTCTGTGTTGAAGCCCCGGTTGTCTCCAGACCCCTCTGTAAACCGTGAAGATTGGTCCAGCGTGTGAAGAGCTGTTTCCATTTAGGAGGCGCTGATGAAAGGCCGGCGTGCCGAGGAGACGGTCCAGATGGGTCCAGATGTGATGAGGTGAATTAAACGACGCCCAGAATCCGACACAAAGCGAGGCGGACGCTGAAGGAGCAGCGGAGGAGGAGCTTAGACCTGGATGACTTCACGGGGTTACAACAGGTCAGCTGATGCAGGCTGCAGTCTCTTTTCTGTACTTCTGCCTGGAATAAAACCGGCTTCCTGTACCAGGACTGAACAAATACTTTGTCGTGGTCACGTTTGGGCAGAAAGTACCGTTATTAATATTCACGGTTCAGTTCACTCATCCTCGCAGATGTTAAATAAAATGAACCCGTCTGAAGCGGAGTCTCAGGCAGGAACAGGAAGCTCACATGTTCTGTAGCAGCACATCGAACAGCGCCGACGAAACGTGAAAAATAAAATAAAACACGCTCGTTTTGCTCGTAGACGTGCATCGAGTTCAGTTCCAGTCCTGTTTGGATCTGAACCACAGCTGAACATGGAGGGTTTCACTGCAGGATGTTCAGCTTTTAAACACGCTCTCTTTCCAAAAACAGTCTTTTGATTTGTCGTTATTAAGAAAATCTTTAAACACAGCACTGTTTTTAGAAATGTCTCCATCCACACGGAAACACAAAAAAAGCGCAGTAGTAACTACTCCAGGCCTGTGTGTGGCGCTGTAACACCCAAAACAGGAAGCAAGGTGCTCACAGGTATGAAATATAAAACAGAACAGGAAGCGGACGTCCTCAGGTCGTAGATTATATTAGAGGCGGGGCTATGATGTCATCATTTTAAAATGTTTTCGATGTCAACACAAAAACATAAAGATGGAGTTTCAAGAAGGTTTTACTCTGGAGCCAGCTGACATTGTCTCAGGGCTCCTGAAATGCAGTTTCTGTGTGGACGCAAAGCTCAAAAGATGTGTGTAATCTCAAAAACCGTCTCCATGTGGACAGATGTTCCTGTGATGTCAACCTTTGAGCTGTCTAAACTTTACGACATATTGGTTTCCATAAACGTTCCTCTTTTCTCCAGTTTCTCCTCCAGTCTTCAGTCTTTGTCTCCGTCACCCCCGGGTGTCTCTGCTGCAGGACTGGTGGTGTCCTCTCAGGGGTCAGAGGTCACACACCCAAACTTCCCATTCACTCCCATTGTCTCTGAGCTCAGAGTTTTCTCTTCCAAACAGGAAGTGAAGGTTGACAAACCAGTAGAAACCAAATGAATGAGGTGCTGGTGCTTTGCTGCATCTTTGACCTGAAGACTGAGCCAAAGGTCCAAATCTGTTGGTGCTCCACCCACAGAGCGGTCCGGTCTGAGTAAACCTCTGGTATTCTGTGTGATGGTTTGCTGCTGGTGCCAGTACCGTCTGATTTTCCATTAGTTCCCATTCAGCCCGGAGACCACGATGGAGACGGTCTCTGGAGCCGGGCGATAAGGTTCGTCCTGATCACGACCAAATGAAGTCAGGAGGCTCTTCACTCGGCCTGCATGTCCTCTCAGCTGAAAGGACAGATGTTCACTCAAACAGAAACAATAAAACTCACGGAGCTGAAGTTTTCACTGAACTGATCATGATGACAGGTTGACTCTGAGAGCTAACAGATTATAATCTCATTAAATCTGCTACAGCTGATCGTTTCTCAACTCAAAGCCGGCGGGTGATAGGCATTCTCTGAAGGAACATCAGGCCTCTGATTCCAGATGTTCTGAGCTCCAACAAGGAAATAAAAGCTGGAGCTGAAGAAGACTTTACTAAAAGCTGCAGAAAGGGTCGAGAGCTGAATCCCTGGTGTTACGTAGCACTGATCCTGGTCCTGATCCTGGTCCTGATCCTGGTCCTGGGGTTCACAGGGGACTCCTGGCCCTGAAAGACCATCTTTAACTGAAGACCTGAGACCTGCTGCAGCAGTAATAATTCTGCTTCTCCATCAGACTGTGAAGATCAGACCTTCACTACCTCACCCGTTTTATAAGTTCTCGTGCTCACAGTGTGCACGGACTGAAGGATGGACGGTCGGTGGGACGGTCGGTGGGACGGTCGGTGGGACGGTCGGATGGACGGTTGGATGGACGGTCGGATGGACGGTCGGA